TTATTAGCAAAGAAGTATAAAACTTCTTGCGAATATCTTTTTTGTGTGTGGTCAGAGGATCAGCGGAAAGAGTTTTTCATCTACGATTATACCTAAGGTATCATTATTATTGAGTTAATAAAATAATATTAATATATATCTTTTCATTTATATTTCTTAAATACTTTTGAGGTCATATATCTTTTTGTTATAAATACAACTATTTGAAATAGTTTTACAGATTAAAGTTTTATTCTTAAATACTCTCTTATACATTATTGTAAAATTATTGCATGTTTTTTTACTCAAGTATGTATATTATATTCTATATTCTATTTTTGAAATTAAAATTCTATTGATAATATATTAAACATATTTCTCTATTAACTTTCTCTTGTTTATTGTCTGAATTACTACTTTGATTTCTAATTTTATTAAATTAATTATATCTCAATTATTCTATTTTGGTTTTAACCAAATATCAAAAAATCTTATCTAATTTTTTTTATTGATTTTATGAATAGTAGTATCTTCTGTTCCAGCTTGGATAGTTTCTAAATCCTAAAAATTTTAGTTTATAGTACGAAAAATTAATTTCTTTGTATTAATTTAAGAGTTATTTGATATATAAATCTTTTTTGCTTATTTTAAGATATTTTTTAAATCTTTTTTAAATTTGATAATTTGAATTATATTATTTATATAAGCAATTACAAATTATCTTAAAGAAAGCTTAACTTTTTTCTTGAGTTTGTGAAAATTGAGTGACCATTACTTTTCTATGGAGTAACTTAAATCAATATTGTTTTGAATTTTACAAAAAAAAAAATTATTTGATATATAAAAACTCTTTTCGTTAATTTTCAGATCATATACAAAAAAGATATTTGTAAAAAGTTTTTATACTTTTTTATTAATAAAGTTTTAATACTATTTCTAAATCAACTTAAAGTTTTATTTTAAAAAATATTTTCAAATTCCCTCTTATGTTTATAACCAAAAACTTGTTTTCCTGTAACCTAAAAAAGTCAAAAAATAATTTTTCTACTTATGACAAGAATATTCTATAAAAAAAAGGAATTAATAGTATAATATTTAAAGATTTTTATATTGAAGTATATTTTGTATAGTAAGAGATGACAAACATTAAGCTATATTTCTAAAGTGTTTGCCTACTATTTCTTTTTTCTTATAGTCACTCAAATTTTTTAATTTTCTGAGAAATTTTACCTATATCAATTTGATACTGAATTGTAGGTGACACTATTTATGCAAAATATAATTAGTAAATATGAAATATATTAGTAGCTAAATGTAAACAAATACTTATTAATCATTATTGGTAATAAAAAGAATTGATTCATATCTTATTCCTATTTCAATTAGATTAATCTATAAATTAAATTCTATAAGATCAATAAGATATAAGCAACAAGTTCTCAAGTGGTGAAAAAACTATTATTTGTTTAAGCTAAGATTATTTTTTACTACTCAAGAAAGATTTAAATCAAGTATATTACTGGAAATAAAGGTTTCTACTAAGTAATAAGTCTCCTCAAACAGTACACAAAAAAGAATCAAGATTAAGAATAGATAAGTTTCTCAAATGATTAGAAAAAGAAAAGATATTTCATTTAAATATTTCTTATTAAGAGAAAGTCTTGAGAAGCAGGTCTTGAAAAAAAGCCAAAGAATTTTATTTTCCTTTCATTTTCTTGTAATTCATTTAAACATTTTTAGATATTCCCTTTCCTCTTTTATCAACCCATCTTTTTGTAATTTCCTGTATTCCAGTGGCTTGATAAGACATTTGACTGTGACAACCTGTTGACAATAAAATGATGGACTAGAAGAGTATTTATCTAAAGACCATCATGGAGTGAAATATTGTTCCTAAGATCAAAACTTAGAAACTATTATTGCTTATGATAAGTTTGTTAGATTTGATAGAAATGTTTAGCTGTAGTATGTATCATGCTGCTCGAACTTATGTTTTCAATTGATTAATAAATTACGATCTAGCTTGGATGTGGGTATACAAAAAAAAATATGAAATATATTACAAATAAGTTTTTATTCAAAAATTTAAGCTTCCTCGGGGAAACTACCAGACCCTACAAAGCACCTCTCCTCCCGTCCTCAATGACAAGGCATCCGTGATGTCCAAAACACCTCTAGGCGTGCTAATAATTGCGATCTCCCCTGGTTGTAATGGAGACACAAATTTGGCTCTTTTGCCAGTTGACCAATCCTGCAATTCGTCCACTTTCATGTAGATTCTCTTGGAACCTTTGCTAACACAACTCATTCTTCTTAACACCGGTTCATTATCGCGGTACTTAAGGTCCAACCACAGTCTTCGGTTGGAAATATTGGCGGGCGTGGTGGGCGTGAACTTCAAGTCGGGACATTTATGGTTACCACGTTGTACTCCGGAAATGAAACCCTGATGATAGAGAATTAATGAGATTGCAAGATTTAATTTTGATTCGGGAACCGCTATAGATGCAAGTCTGGCTCGAAAACCATTCTGAATCCGGGCGCATAAGTCGTGTGGGACAGTCATGCTTCGGCGGACTGGTTAAAAGGGACGAAAATTTTTTTGATTATCAGAGTGTCACGTTATCTGCGAATCACATTTATAGTCGAGTGTATGCGCATCATCTCTTCTCTCCCTGTTATCGTATGCGTGTAAGGCAAATGTCGTCATCACTTTCGAGATTGTTATCTCGCGCATTTGGGTTTCAATCCTCTATCTCTTTCACCAACCCTTTGTTAATTCCCGCCGTTACCTCTTCGAGACGCGCTTACACGAACAGCGGCAGTGATCCAATAATAATAGAACAGCTGACTGAAGGCGAAAAATATCTTTATGAAAAATTGTCCAAGAATTTGAATCCTACTAGATTACGTGTTGAAGATATCTCGGGTAAAATTTTCTTTTTGAGTTTCGCAGATCACACACATACCATGGGATGTCATTCTATAACACTCATTTGATAGGTGGTTGCGGGTCGATGTACTCAATAGAGATTTCTTCGGAACGGTTCAAAGGACTGCCAATGATAAACCAACACAGAATGGTCAATGAGTTGCTGCATGAAGAAATCAAGAACATGCACGGGATACAGGTATGGTGTAAACATCGCGGTTTTTATAAGGATCATTATTAAATCGTCATCATTTGAACGCATTATCACTGTTAGCTTAAAACATCCGCATCATAAGTAATGAATAGATGCATCCTGAATCATCAACTCCAGTATATCAGGAATTTCTGGATACAGTATGTCGCTTGTCAAATTTTTTGACGAAGGCTCGCTATTAGACAACAACGATATGGCTACAAATTAGATACAGTATTATGTAATAATAATATACGATCATCAATAAACTGAATATGTACACGGAACGCAATCAAATTGCACGTTCAAACACCGCCAGATTGATTCCTTCAGTCAGTGGCAGCTTTATGCCCTGGAGGATACATCCCCGCAACATGAAGATTCACGTCTGATTGACTCTGATGCAAATGTGGCTGCGGATATTGCAGTGGTTGTGGATGTGATTGTTGAACAATACCGTTGAAACCAATTCCTCCATTTATCATTCCACCACTGAAATTCACTTCACCTTTCTTATCACCGCCTTTCGAGACAATTCCACTACTCCCGCGAGTATTACCAATTCTATTTGAATTCGCTCCGCCTCCTGTGACCTGATCCAAAAATGACCATATTCCGTTGGAGATTTTCACTATGAATCCTATGGTCACCCATATTCCTCCTACTAACCCACACAACCTTGTCATGAAACTCGTGAATCCCTGCCTTTTTTCGGTGATCTTCACTGAGATCGGTTCTATGTCGTACTTGAAGAATATTCCTAGTGACGATGTGTGTGTGTGTGTGCATAAGAAAACCGCGTTAGTCATGCGTCATCTTGGTAAATCTTGTGAAACCAGGAGGACATGCCTGGAATTCCGAATTGACCCTTTGAAATATCATATATCTTGGAATAATCTGTAACCGCGTATTGGCTTGTAAACAACACTCTGTTATTATTGTCTATGTAAGTGGTTGGAACCTGTTGTGTAAATATCAAAAAAAAAAAAAAAATTGAGAATGATTAAACGCATTTTCCTTTGGTAATCGAGTTAGCATCAAAGAAACTTACAACCGACAAGAAATATAGAAAAGACTCGATGTCTTCAAATATATATATATATATTAAGATTCAATTTTGTTTTCAGACAGAGGTATTGTTGTTAAAATGCGATTGATTTGGACGTACGCGCTTCCGCTATCTCGATGCTATTGTCCAGTGGATTCACAAGGCGTGGGTAGAATGTTCCAAATGAGAATTCATCAATGCGATGCGTGAAATTTAATTCTATAAAACGACGGGCGGAAATGAGAAGAACGTCGAGAGCCGAAGAATCGAGAAGCAGATAGGTTTACCTTCGCTATTTTGAAAGGAATATCCGCCGTACCCGAGGCCAATCGCAGTGATGTGTAAATTTCCTGTGACCTTGTTGACGCTAAAATATCCAAAGACCCTGCATGCGTTCATCTCACTATCTGCATGGGAGATGATCGTAAATGCTCGTTCGTTGCCATGATAAAATTGAAATGAGAAAGAGAGTCCCGTTCTGTCTGTTTACCTTCCACACTACCGTCGGCGTCAGAAAAGGTTGGATCTGAATTCGCATCAACCAACATCTTCCGAACATCCAATCGAACTCCATCATCTGTTTCATCTCTGAATGAACGAAATTTGAAACTGGGTAGATCAGTGTTGAATCAACTTGAAACCAAGGTCAAAAACTGCTTTACCCCACCCTATGTGGTGTGCCGATCCTACATCAAATGACGTCTAGAAAAAGAAGTAAACACGAATCAGAGATTGAGCAAGAAAAGTTGTTGAACCAGAAAAAAAAAAAAAAAATTAGAAATAAAAAGTTCAAAAGTATTCACCGGAACAACTTTTAACTTATCGGTCACATGCATCCTTTCCCCAGCCACGTCAACCACATCCACCGTCACAACTATCATCAATCGAACGGTGAGCGCGATTCAACCGAGCGACGATGGTCGAAAGAAGAAACGCGAGTCATACTCACAATTGCACGGAGTCTTTACGGTAATGTCGATATTTATTTGTAATTTATGATGGATGTTCTGGTCCACCGAGAATTCATACTTTTGGTTCAAATTCCAGTACTCGCGAAATTCACTGATTATCAAGAACCACAACAGTATTGATACGACGATTGTTATGAATCCTCCTTGCGGACTTTTATCCTGGTAACCTGCATCAACTTTCGGGAACGCATCAAAGATAATTAATTTTCTTAATATTTTCATATTCGAGCGGTGACGAGCAAGCGAGCAAGGTGAGACAAAAGGAAAGAGATTGGTTTGACCGTTTCACCAATCAAATACGAACCGTACTTTTTATACTAGCCAGTACGTATTTGAATTCGTGGATACCACCGCAGAAACCTGCTTAAAAACTTGCATGCCAACAAATTTCAGCTACCCATGTTTGGTAATTCTTTGGTGCACCCAATTAATATTGAATTTAGTGTTACGTATCAGTATCAGGAAATACGTAGTCATTCATTTGCATCGCACATATGTATTGTTGCAATTACCCCCCACTGTGTATGGTCTCTGATCATTACGTCCACACAAATTGTTTATTAAATTGTTTGTGATGAAAGATATTTTTTATATATCTTTTTTCCTTTTTTGCATTTGATGCACTTTGTCCGAACATAACCTTTTATTCCCCTTCGACCCTCCTCAACTCCCTTTTTTCCTTCACAATCCCTTTCATTCTTTTCTTAAAATATCTTTGCAAGCTCTCTCGAGCTTTTATAAATAGAAAAAATAGAACATGACTAAAAATCTTGCTGGTGACTACGGGGGGGTAAATATGTGCTCGCTCATTAATTTTTATACATATATATATATAGTTTTTCATTTTTATTTTTTTCCTTTCCTTTCCTTTTGTCTCTCTCTCTCTCTCTCTCTCTCTTGTGGCGAGGGAGAGCGAAGAACATTGTTATCCCTATCTCTCCGTTTATCCAAATGGTATTCTTCCCTTCATTAATTTACTTTTTACCTTACTAGGGGCAGAAGTCATATCAACAAGAGGATGTTGAATTGAGACAAGTCGGTCAAAACCTGGACGTCTCTTCGTTTTTCGACGAGGTATTCAATCTTTGTGGCAGCGTGAAATAGTACGAATATTAAGGGGTGGTAAAATGTCGTCACGAGGAATTTTCATTATTAAAACTATCTTTTCCTGGTCAGGTATCCAAAATTCAAGATATGATCCGTCAGATTCAAGAAAATATCAGTCGCATAGACGAATTGCATGCCCGTTCCTTGGCCACAATTAAAGAAGAGGAGGAGTCCAAACAAAAACTGGAAGGATACACGTCCAACACAAAACAATTGCTCGTTCAGGTGAAGGATAGAATCAGAAAATTAGAGTCCTTGAATTTGAGTCTGCCGTCTAACGCCGGAGATCTGGAGGTCCGAAAGGCTCAGGTGTGTATCATGGTTGTTTCACCCTACTCAATTATTCGCGTTCGGTATGCGCACTCGTCGTTCGACTAATGCTCTTCCTCTTGTTTCACAGACAGCCAATCTTCGGAAAAAGTTTTTGGAAACCTTGCAAAATTATCAGAACATAGAATATCAGAACCGGCAAAAGTTCAGGGCAAGGATGGAAAGGCAATATAAGATTGGTATGTGTCGCGTGTTAATTCAAAGAATCGACATTTTTAGGTTGTGGTCCCTGATGTGAATCGCTTCATTAGTCAATCCGACTGCTTCACAGGAAGAGATTGATGCTGCGTTAGATAATGACGAGGGTGAACAAGTTTTTGCTCAATCGGTTAGTCCTGAATTCTGTAAATTGAAATCGCCTTTTCAATTTCCGTTTGGCTCATTCGATTTCCTGGGGGTTTTTTTTTTTAGTTGATGACGTCAACAAGATATGGCGCAGCAAAAGACGCTTTGCGAGAAGTGCAGGAGCGCCACGACGACATTAAGAAAATAGAAAGAACGATCGAGGTAGAAATTAATTGATTTTATTTAATTCAGTGTGCAATTTCTTTCTTTATTTTTTTTCTAAATCGTCTTACCATTTTCTACTTAGGAACTTGCAAATCTTTTTCAAGAGATGCAACTGATGGTGGAAGCACAGGATGTGCCGATTGCTACCATCGAGGAGCATGCGGATCAGGTCAATCATGATATGGAGCAAGCTAATGTACACATGGAAAAGGCTTATGAAAGCGCCAAGGGTGCCAGAAGAGTAAGATAGAAAATTTTTTATTTACGGATAATGTGATCGTATTGTCAATTTTATTTGACTGATTTGCTTGCTATCCGTCTGTCATTATTTTGTTTAGAAAAAGTGGTATTGCTTTTTCATTCTTATCATCATCTTGATTGTTGCCGCTGTGGGATTATACATATACTTGAAGCCAAAATCTTCGGATACCTCATCTTCCACAACACAAACTATTACTGCGTCCTCATCATCGGCACAGGCGACGGAGACAGTAACGTCCCCAGGCACGAAAAAATAGAATTGAATTTACATATTTTTTTTTTTTTTTTTTTTTTTTTTTTAAGAAAAAAAAAAAAAAAAAAATAAGATTCTTTTTTTTTTTTTTTTTTTAAAAAATATAAAATTTTTTTTCCTTTTTTTTAAAATGGGGGGGGGTGGGGGTGTGATATGGTTTGGG